TCCTGGGATTCTGTGAAGCATGGCTGAATGAAAAATGAGTCCAAAAATCTCATGATGAAAGAGAGGCTGGGCTCAGGGGACTCGAGTTGCTGAGGCCTTCGCAAACCTCCAGAACAAAAAGAAAAACAAAAATGAAACACATTGAAATAAAAAGAATAATTTGCTAGTAGCTGGTTTTGGGCATCTGACCAGAATGTGGTGGTTGCTGGGGGACCAAGGGAAATTCTGCAGCCTGTTAATTCTTTCATAAGAATTTATGAGTTTTCCTTTCATAACACAACATTTTAGGTGGACATTATTTAAATAAATCACACAGACCTGATATAGGTATGTGGCATTAGACTGTGCTCGATTTAATACCGAAAAAGCATCGTAGTTTGTGACTGATATGTATGTGTTGCCACTAGGAGTGTTCTTTCATGTGTGATGATGGAGGGAGAGTTTATCAGAATAAGTGTGTAATTGGCACAGGTGGATGGCTCAAAGCTGTCAGCACAATGCCAAAACATTGTCTCTCTCTTAAAGCTTTGCGTCCTTAACCTGAATGTTTGTCTGTCTAGTCCTCAGTAATGCTAAAATTTCAGTGAAACAGAGCAGAAATTAATGTGGTGTGTCTGAGGGATACAAGAATACAGATTCATCCAGAATTTACACACCTTTATCCACACACAGTCTCTAGCTATTTCTTTTTTTTAACAGATGAGTTAGCCCTTACAATAGAACCATTGATTTTTCCTTTAGCTTCCTCTCACTGATCTAAATTGCCTTGCTCTTTTCAGAAAGAAACAAATTGATAAACTCTGCATTTACACTGTAATTTTTTTTATCAGTATATTACTCGCTTCCTCATTGGCTCTGTTTGTTTATGACCTGCTAATTTGTGCTGCTCTTGGCAGAATGCCAGTCATTACTAAAATAAAGTGGCTGCGTCTTGGTATAGCCATCCATCCATCTGTTTTTTTCCCCCCACTTATCTAATTCAGGGTTGTGGGGAATGGAGCCTGTCTTGCCATGGCACAAGAAATGGGGTACACCCGGGACAGGTTGCCAGTGTGTTCTAGGACATACACAGAGAAACAGACAATCATTCATACTCACATTCACACAAACTACAATACAACCAAATTAGAATCAACTTCAGTAATTGGGTGAGTCCCACTCAGGGATGTCCTTCTATATAAACAAGCAAATTGTTGGCAGATCACCTGGAAAACTTTCCCTTCCCATTGGTTCATTTGAAACCTTACACTAATTTGTCCCGCTTAGTACATCTCCCTCTGTGCTTTTTTTGGCTGACTTGGGAATGCCTCGCTGAAGAGCTAGACAAGTTAGCTTGGGAGAGGAAGATCTGGGCATCTCTGCTTAGATAGCATCCTCCAGGACCTGGACCAGTGGTAGACGATGGATGCACTGGATGGACAGATTATTAAAATAACATATAAATCTACTAAATGGTGCTTTTTCACATATTAGACTCCACTGTAGTATATAAATAAATCAAAGTCAGTGGGGAAAACCTTTTGTTGGACAATGATTAGGAATATGCTCTCTTTAATGGACTGATTCTTATATAGCGCTTTTCTGCTCTCCTGGAGTACTCAAAGCACTGTATACAACATGTTTCATTCACCCCATTCATACAAGCACTTCTAAACTCAAGTTCAGTCTAACCAACATTCACATTCCGATGAACGCATCGGAGAGCAACTAGGCCAAGGATACTTGGCATGGGGAAGCCAAGGATTGAACCACCTACCTTCCAATCAGTAGCTGATATGCTTTACCACCTGAGCCACAGCCACCCCAATCTATATAACATCTCTTTAATGTCATATAGAGTGAACATTAGGGAAAAAAATGTATGAAACATGATTATTTAGCTTACTTGCACATCATTTAGCAGCTCTCCTGCCCCAACTTTAACTGACAGCTCAGAATTGTTGGCTCAGCAGTCTTGACTAATCCTGTCTCTGGTTCTGCTATTTCAGCTACATCCTCAACTTCCTGCGGACGTCAGAGCTCACATTGCCATGTGACTTCAAGGAGACGGAGCTGCTAAGAAAGGAGGCTGACTTCTATCAGATTGAGCCCCTTATCCAGTGCCTGGGAGACCCCAAGCCGCATCTGCCCTACCCCACAGACAGCTACGAAGAGGTGGTTGAGTTGTCCAGCACCAGAAAGCTCTCCAAGTACTCCAATCCTGTTGCAGTCATCATCACCCAGCTCACCATCACCACCAAGGTCAGTGGGAAAAGGCCTGGTCAGGCTGTATTGATCTATCACAGCAGATTTTACAGTATATTTATTTATTTTTCCTTTAGACTGCTTCTGAGTCTGCTTCTAGAAAAAAACAAACAATTTTAAATAAAATTGATTAGTTTTTTTATGCTTAATGCCTGATTCATAAATTTTAAGTTCTGCTACTGCTTTTGCATTTTCCATTGAGTGTCTATACATGCTGCCTGGAAATATTACTTTTTAAAAAATAATAATAATTATTACAGTTTTACCATAACTAATTTGGGACTCCTATAATAGGTTATTTCTTTTAACTAGTTTAACCACTACAAAATAAGTGATGTGACATGCTTTTTGGAAAAAGTACACTGTGTGAAGTTAACATTTACAGTATTGCAATTGTTCCCCTTATATATTATTAATTCCGGAATCTTAAATTGTTGAATATCTTTCTACGTTCACTGAAGTTTAAAACAGACTCTGAAGAGTGTGATGACTCTGCAGTATTTGTTTTTTTCTCGCTTCATTGTCCTCACACCTTGAAGTGGTGAAGAAACAATAAAAACAGTAGCTTTGGCTGCGTTGTTTTCTCTTCGTTTTGGCCTCCCATCCACACTGAGATGGCGTTTTCGCTCTCGAAAACGCATACATTTGAAAACGTGCAAAACTGCTCTTGCGTCGCAGTGTGGACAGCTAAAATGCAAACTTTCTAAAATGATGATGCATGTTAGTCATATGATGCAGTCATGTGACCAATTAAACTAAGACACAGCAGTTGTTTTGTTTGCTCTCAATTTTAACAGCCTTATTAAAGATTGATATCAGTCTGTGCATGCTCCAGATAGCTTTTCTTCAAATTCTTTAACTCTCTTTTGCAACTTTGTACTTTTGTGTTACTGGCAGCAAAAACTCCACCTCATTGTTAGTCCATTTAAAAAACTCGGTGCTTTTCCTCAACATTTTGCCACGATGTTTCAAAGAGCCGGAAAGTAAATAAGCAGCAGACAGAAATGAGGCAGGTCAAATCTTCTTGCGTTTCACGCATGCGCAGTACTGGAACGTAAGTGTTTTCGGCCATTTCAATGTGGACGCGCAGCCTAAACAGGGAAACCCAGGCCTCCTCCAGCTTATCTGGGGAAACACCAAGGTGTTCCCAGGCCAGCCAAGAGATATAATCTCTCCAGCCTGTCCTGGGTCTACCCAGGGCCTCCTCTCGGTGGGACATGCCCTCTCCCCTCACAGGAGCCCGAGATACTTAAACTCTTTCACTTATAATAATAACAATAATGGATTGCATTTATATAGCGCTTTTTGGGACCCTCAAAGCGCTTTACAATTCCACTATTCATTCACTCTCACATTCACATTGGTGGAGGCAGCTACAGTTGTAGCCACAGCTACCCTGGGGCAGACTGACAGAAGCGAGGCTGCCATATCGCGCCATCAGCCCCTCTGGCCATCACCAGTAGTCGACCACTTGGGGTAGTAATTCGTTCCTGGCCTGGCATGGGTACTCCATCCTTTTCCAGCTGAGGATCATGGCTTCAGACTTCAGTGCTGATTCTCATTCCTGCTGCTTCACACTCAGCTGCAAACTGTTCCAGTGCAAGCTGGAGGCCACATCTGATGAAGCCTGACCCATAATCATAAGTGAATTGATGGCGTATTTTCATGGCCCAACTGAGCAGGTAGACAGCGTGGACACCCAAGGTTGTAAATGCAATAACTTGAGAGTGAGATGACATAGGATTTTGAAATTCATACCATAGACGCAACTACTAAAAACCTTGGATGAGTTTGAATCTCAGTGACCTTGACCTCAAGTTCTAAACAATCTAAACACTCTAAACAACTTGTCCGGAACTGTTTTTATCATCTAAGAAACATTTCTAAACTCAGGCTACTGGTGTCAAAGGCAGAACTTGAGATGATTATTCATGCTTTTATCTCTTCTCGTTTGGATTATTGTAACGGTCTTTTTACGTGTCTCAACAAATCAGCTCTGGATCGCCTTCAGTCTGTACAGAATGCAGCGGCAAGACTTTTAACTGGTACAAACAAAAGGTCACACATTACTCCAGTTTTGGCTTCTCTTCATTGGTTGCCTGTAAATTTTAGGGTTCATTTTAAAATTTTAGTTGTAACTTTTAGAGCTCTGCATGGTGAAGCTCCCCAGTATATCTCTGACCTGCTGAAACCTCATGCTTCATCCCGAGCACTTAGGTCTTCAGGTCAGAGGCTACTGGTGGTCCCACGTACTAGATTTAAAACACGTGGGGATCGGGCTTTTCAGGCACTGGCACCTAGGCTGTGGAACTCTCTGCCGTTGTCTTTACGCTGTCTAGACTCTACTGACTCCTTTAAAAAGCAGCTGAAGACATTTTTATACAAACGGGCTTTTAATTAATTTTAACTTGTATGTCTGATCTTATTGTAAAGCACTTTGTGATTTTTATCTGTGAAATGTGCTATATAAATAAATTTACTTACTTTTACTTAAGTTCAAAGTCAGAGGTCAACTTTTCTGCAAATGACCTAGGACAGCGGTCCCCAACCTTTTTTGCGCCACGGACCGGTTTATGCCCGACAATATTTTCACGGACCGGCCTTTAAGGTGTCGCGGATAAATACAACAAAATAAAACTAGTACCGGTACCGAAAAAAAGAAGATTTATTCATAACACACGTGAAAAGACCCAGGAAAACCGAGTTAACGATAAAAACGATAACAAAATAATGCTGAAAACCGATAAAAACCCTGAAAACCATACATTTCACACCTGAGCCTCAACTCTCGCGGCCCGGTACCAAACGACTCACGGACCGGTACCGGTCCGAGGCCCGGGGGTTGGGGACCGCTGACCTAGGACTTTCAAATATAAAGCTGAGGTACATCTACTAGGAGACTGAGGAGAAGCAGCTACCAGTAATTTTTGCTTTTTCCTACAAAATTTTAAATAAATGTTTTAAATTTATACATTAATCCTAATTTTCTGTGATCTGTAGCGGGTTGTAGCCCAGAAGCTGGACGGCTAACAGGCTGCACAAGCAACATCTTCTCTATTCTGTGAGGGATTTTTATACACTCAACAAAAATATAAACGCAACACCTTTGTTACTGCTCCCATTCCTGGG